AGAGAGAGAGAGAGAGAGAGAGAGTACAAGAAGAAAGAAGAAGAAAAATGGATACTGAAAAAGAATAAGAAAAAATGGAGTCTTATTTATTTTGGATTTTAGTAAATACATGGACATAGAGGGGTATATTAGTCTTTTCGCATACATTTTTTAGGACAAAATGGTAAATTTTCGGATGAGATAAAAAAATCCCCGGGTGAGGCGTGGATTAATTAATCGGCCAGTAGCGAATATACAAGTGGGGCCCGCAGCAACATGTAGCCAGCTCACGCAAATCTCATCCCGATCCTTAAAAAGAAACAACGGATAATGCGGGACAATTTAGCTATCTTGTCCCATCCTCCAATGTAAACGAGCCCTTAGTGGGGTCGAAACGAAGTGAAGGGGCTATGAGACCCAATTAAGCTTAATCTGCTTCTGTCTTAGGTCGTAGATCTCCTTTATTGTACCAAAAAAAAAAATACTTAATAAATTATATTATTATTTATTATTCAGTAAAATACTAGTAAATAATAAATAATAGTAATAAATACAACACGTGAGGCTAGGAGTGATACTGAAAAAACCAAAATACAAGGCGTGGCGTATATACAGTGTTCGCTGAAATACCGATAGACTATTCGCCCCACCAACAGATAGGAGGAGAAAGAAATAACAAAAAGAGAATTTTTTAGAAAAAAACGACAATTTCTTCACTGTTAATTCTCATCTGCAACTTTGATTCCCCAGAAAAAAAAAAATACAGCGTTTTGCAGTGTTTTAAGCCGCTAAAGATTATTGGGGTTCAGTGTTGAAACATATAGCAAGAAAGAAGACAATGTGAGAGATGAAGAAACCTCGCAGAGTCGGGCCCAAGAACAAACCGAATCCCAAATTAGGCAAAAATCCGGCCAATAGCCTCGATCCCGACGGCAAATTCACGAGCAGAAACTTGTGCAAAATCTCCGTTCCGCTGTTCTTTTTGTTTTGGTGCGGCGTCGTTTTGTTTCATGCTAATCTCACTCGTGGAAATGAAGGTACAATTTCCCAGTTTCTTGACTCGCTCTGTTGTTTTCCCCTTGTTGTTGTCGTGTTGTGTGCTGTGGAAATTGAGGGCTTTCGTTTAATAGTGTTGGTTGAGTAGCTGAGTTAATGGGGGGATCTTCTTTTTCAAGCTTTATCTGTTTATGGTTGGTCCTATGATTATTGGTGATGAAGTCATTAATCTGTCTCATGGATTGTTGTAATCAATTTGATTAACCCTTTTTCGGTAAGTTTCTTGAAATTTATCAGTTGGGCCATTTACTGTTGTAACTTTTGAACGATAATGAGCACAAGATTTATGTATCATTAAATGAACTGTAGCAGTTGATTACTTTCAAGTCGAAAGTCCCTTTTTACTTGATACTGTTTATGGTTCTGTAATCTTTCTTTCTGTGTCGGATGCCATGTATATTTTTCAGGGGATTTGCTTGCCTACAACAGAACGACATTGGACCCGGGTTTTCGTGACAAAAAGCTACTCAACCATACGGCCTCAGTTGCAAAAACTGAAGTAGAGGATAACACCAGTCGAGTAATGATGGACCCAAATGTGTCTCGTATTACTAACAGCTCCACCGAGCTAAATATCCCTTCATACCAGGAAGACTCAGTCATGGGAACAAGTCGACTACAAGAACTGATATCAGTTTTCTTTGGCCATGATCCGTATACATGTCCAGTAACAACACAAGAAAACGGGCTTGAAGCCGAACCCGAAACGCACCAAAACGGGAGGATCCATCTTACTTACCCCAACCTTGATGACTTCAAGCACATCTCGAGACAGGAGAAACCCAATACATCCCGCCAGCTCGTGAACATCACCCACAGGCTTGAGCCCGATGGGACCCCTTATAACTATGCCTCGGCTTCGAAAGGTGCAAAGGTAGTGGCCCACAACCGGGAGGCCAAGGGAGCCAACAACGTTCTGGGCAAGGACCATGACAAGTACCTCAGAAACCCGTGCTCGGCCGAAGGCAAGTTTTTCATAATCGAGCTTTCGGATGAAACCCTAGTGGACGCCGTTAAGATAGCAAATTTCGAGCATCATTCTTCTAATTTCAAAGAATTTGAGCTCTCGGGAAGCTTGGTCTACCCGGCCGAGACGTGGGACACTTTGGGATCTTTTGTGGCGGCAAACTCGAAGCACATGCAGTGCTTTAAACTTCCAGAGCCAAAATGGGTCCGGTACTTGAGGGTGAATTTGCTGAGTCATTATGGTTCGGAATTCTATTGTACGTTGAGTGTGGTCGAGGTTTATGGGGTCGATGCCATCGAGCAGATGCTCGAGGATCTTATTGTACCGTCTGGAGAGCCCAATACAAACTCGACTGCAATTCCTGCTGTATTATCTGAAAACAGCACGAATAAATCTGAAATTGATGACCCTTCTCGTAATTTTGTTGAGACAGTGAGTAAAGGGGTGGTGGGGAGTGTTGATGAAGGCCAAATGATTGGTTTGGATTTAACGAAGAAGGCTTTGGTGACCAGTGGTGTGTCCGAGCCATTGCCAAAGGCCAGACAGCACCCCAATAGCAGGTTGCATGCAGATGCCGCCTTAAAGGTAGTGTTGCAGAAGGTTCGGTCGATCGAGCTGAATATGGAGGTGCTTGAGGAGTATATAAAACAGCTTCACAAGAGAAGGGGAGATGTTTTGCCTGAGCTTGAGAAGGAGCTGACGAAGTTTAATGCCCTTCTGGAGAAGAGTAAATCGGAGTTGAAGAAACTTATGGAATGGAAGGAAATAATGGTATTTGTTATTTTTAATTAATTAAGCTTTCGGCGATTTTGAAAACGTTGGAAAGTCGAGCACGTTATTTATTTATATACTGTTCTGTTGTCCAGGCTAAGGGTATTCTTGAACTGGAGTCATGGAGACTTGCTGTGTCTACACAGATGGATCTTGTGGTCCGCCACAATAGTATGCTAAGGTTTGTTGACAATTTTTGTGGACTAGCATTGGCTCCGTATTTCGTTGTGTAGTTGGGCTTGATTTATAATATCTGTTAAGAAAACATAGGATTTTCTTTGTTACTCTTTTGCTGCCTCCACAAAAGCTTAGTTGAGCTGTAATTGGGAGATGAAGTTAATGCATCAACCATTTGAATAAATGTCGGTGGAAGTAATGCTTTTCCTTATTTATTTATTCATTTATTTTTATTTGGTGATGTTCTAAATTCAGAGTTGATTACAAACATAGTCGACTGAAAAGTAGGGAAAAGAAGGTCCTATCAAAATTGGATCAGAACTACAAATATTGTACTCTCTAAATTAACACCTTGCAAAAATTTTCTGATCCCTTAACTGAACTTGTGTTTGCAGAGTAGAGGTTGAAAAGGTTTTACATGATCAAGTGAGCCTGGAAAAGAAAGAGATTGCAATTCTAACAGTGACCCTGACCTTTGCGTGCATTGCCATTTTCAAGATAATATCAGAAAGGGTGGTGAAGTTTTTCCGGGCCCCAACACCTGGTGCAGTTTCCCAGTCGAGCAGAGGATGGATTTTAGTCTTCATATTCTGTAGCTTGACGATGCTAATCCCGGTGATTTATGGTTAGTTTTCAAACTGTGTGTGTTGTGGAAATGTGAGAAAAAGTTTATAGCTTTTGCAGGTCTATAGAATATGGTAAGAGGTCTAGATTTTAGTGTCAGAATGTGCCTATCCTCAGTACAACATGCGCTTTTGTGATCGGGTTGTATTGAGTTCCGCATTGTAATTGCCAAATACTTGTGTAGTTGAAATGTTACTCGGTTTGTCTTGTGATCGATCTTCTTTTTTCATGTTAATGCGGGGTTACCTTTGTTCCCCTTCTTGCGAACAATTCGCTCGATACGAAAAATTCAACCCGACCTGCCCTCACATGATTTTTTGCCGTTTGATCAATACACACTCATGTGAGTGCAGGTTGAATTTGCCCACTTGGTACAAGGCTCGCTGCAGGTTGATAAACAGATAAAGTAATCAAGTCATGCTCACTGATTGGCTATATTTATATTATAGTCCTTGTGTTTCTTACCTGCTTTGTTCTTTGTTTTTCATTTCAAAGGAATCATCTCAAGTTTACATCACTTTCAAAATTAAAAGAAATATATGCATGATTTATCGTTAAAAAAAAAAAAAAAAAAAATAGAACAGGAAAAGGGATGTTTGATTTACTACCTACTTCTCACAAACATTGCCACATTTATGATTTACTAGTAAAGTGCACGTGCGATGCACGTGGTGTCGAATGATATTCGCGGAGTAAGTTTGTAAAATAAATTAATTAATTTATTAAACATATCATTGCAAAAATGAAGTAAAATATAGAAAAAAAATGAACTCATGTGATTTTTTTTATTTAGAATTAACGTAATGATGTCCACATATAAAAATAGTGAAATAACGTTTTACAACCCCCAACAAAAATATATATAAAAACAAATCCCTAATAAAAAAACAAAGATTTTCTTTCGTTTTGGTTTTGGCGTTCTCATAAGAACATTCATAGTCGTGGGAGTCCAATACTTCAATAATATTGCAAAATTTCTCTTAATTAATTTGGCAAAACGCCAATTTTATTCAAACACTTAAGAAACATTCTGACCCAACATATAGTCAAATTTCATGATCGCATATCTCTATGAAATAACTAACGGTGTCAGTAAAATTGCAGATATTTTTTATCACTGTATAAACTACTAATTCCTCTTAATTAATTTTACATTCCTCTGTCTCTAGATATATTGGTGTCTACCCTATTGATGCATCGCCCCACGATGTGTGAATGAATTTTATCTCCAAATAAAAGTTGACTTTCTAAAATCTGGGTTACATGTACTTCTCCCGATGTGCTAAATTATTTTTTGAAATCACCATACATTACCTGAAAGTACCTCTAAAGTAATTGCACACATGTTCAAGCGCAATACACCAATGAGATTATAAATATTTCTACAAGAAATGACAACTTCATTCTAACATTCAAAACTGTTTTGATACTCATACATTTAATTTTCAGTGGTATTTATTTAGAATATAGACGAACAATATAATCTATTATTTGCAATGATAAAACAAAACAAACAAAACAATGAGAAAATATTGAGAAGATATCATTTGTTAAAATATATGACAGCAGAAGAATTAGAATTCCATTATAGGACGATACTTTTAGTCATCTGTAAAGTTTATTATTATGGAGTCATGATTAAAATATACATCATGTATACAATTTTTTGAATTTTTTAATTATTTAAAATTGAAAATAAATAATATATGATCATTATTTATGAGAACCAATTTCTTACAGAGTCCATATATGTAAACGCTAGCAACAAAAAATTAGTAATTTTAAAAGACTTTTTGTTTGTGAATATTGGCATTCATACTTTTCTAAGAAAATTAACACGTTTTCTTTTTCTCATTGCATTACTATTATATTATTTGTTTCTTATTCTATAGGCAAATAATATTTTATTTGCTAAGTAATTAAAGCACATTTATACGTATTACGGTATTTTTCGTATGTGTTTTATATAATGATGTTATCAAATTATCTTATTTATTAGGCTACAATTAATATAATCACATAAGATTAAATGTAATGTAAATATATTTGATAAAGCTATACTTTTTATACGAATTAATAGATTAAAAAGTTTAGAATTTTTTTCAATGATTGATAGAATATTAATTAACTAAGTCATTTTCATAATCACTGAATACATATATGGTACCACCATTATAGGGTTCCTTTTCCAGTAGTAATTGACTTCGCATAGCTAATGTTATTTCATTTCTTTTCTCTGACCTAGTCTTTCCTTTTATCTATGACTTTACGTTGCTTCGCTTTGTTTGTACCCTAAGGTGCATTTGCCATAGTTTCAACATTACGACAAACTCGTGTCAAACATATATCGGATTTGAGCGCTCTAGCCAAAACGTGGAAACAGTTAGAAGTTTACACCCATTTTTTTACTTTTTTTTTAATATGAATTGTTTCAAATTTATGTATGAAAACATACCACAAGTTTATCTTATTTATTTTATACTTAATAAAATTGATTTAACTTGAATATAAAATTTATTACATTATATACTTTAACACCAATTTATTGTTTTAAATTAGTACTGATATATATATGTATTATTTTATATCGATATAAATAATTATTTTATTTTTATGTTATTGCAATATATGGGTCAACTCAAACATCATTTAAAATAAATGATGTGATATATTACATATAAAAGGCAACAAATAAAAAATATGAAGTATTTTAAAATTAAAAAAATTAATGATAGAAAGTAATAAAAATCTTAACTAAAAAATTTAAGATTAACATACCCACTTTTAAATAAATATACATATGAATATATATATATATATTATATTTATATTATATATATTTAAAATTATATATATATAATGTACTTAAAAGTTTTAGTTAAAATATATGTGTATCTTAAGTATGTTTTATATTTCTCATTAGGCAGCTTCAATTGATATTGTACATTAAATAATTTTATCAACATTTTTACTTTTGGATTTAATGAGAGATATAAATTTTGTCATTATTCTTACCCCTTATTTAGTTATTATAATACTAATAAAATAATTAAGGATCTTTCAAAGTATCTTATTTGTTTTGAAAAAAATTACTTCTTATCATAAATTGAATGCCAATTACATTGAATGTGTTATATTTTCTATCGTATCAAAAAATTTCATAATAATAGTTGCACACAATATTATATATAATGTATTTTTTTTTATAGATTTGGAGTCCTAGTTTTACTACAAGAAAATGAGAAAATTCTAACAAAAAATACAACAAATATAATGATTTTCTTATGTTGATTTAAGAAAAATCTTGACTTTTGGTTTCTTAAATATATTTTACCTTATTGTGATTGCATAGATTTATTAAAATGTATTACAAATGAGAAATGTGATAGATCATGTAAAGTATAATTTATAAATTGCAATGACATGTTATTTTGATAGTATATATTTTCCTATTAACTAAATAATGCTCCCAATATGAAATTATTTTGGATCTATCACTGCAATTATCTTTCAAATGGAACTTCTATTGAATTTTTGCATAATACCAATGGCAATTTTTTCAACTATAGAAATATGGTCCAAAAAAATTCCAATAGAAATTCATGTAATTGAAATATTTGAATCCACTAAAATTCATGTAATTTAATTTGAACACTAATGGAATAGCCAATGAAATTTTCCAATGAAAGCAATATATTCGTGAGAATTTTCAGTAAACTACCTTATCGTTGAGTTTTTCATTGCAGTATAGCAATTTTGTGTAGTCCTCTCAAACATTATTTTTTATATAGTATTTATTGAGGAATTGTGTTTACAATTTTTTTTATTAAAAATATATTACACACGTGAACCTTTTAGTTCCTATAATTTTTTATTTTAGAAATCACTCATTATTTTATCTCGAGATTACCTATTAATTTACCAATTGAGTTACATTTCTTACATATTAAATATTATATAATCAAAATAGTTCTTGTTTTATATGTTCAATATGATACTTATATGTTATATTTAAAAAACTAATATAGTAAATAAAAAAGTTATTTAGAATTAGAATAATAAAGATTTTTTTTTTTCTAATCTACATGGATAAATGTACAAATTATTATTGTCTTCTCACCTTAAATTAACACATAAAGATAATAAGAACAAAAAATTAACAAGCATTTAACAACTCAGTTCAATTACATTGATAAGTATATTTTTAGAAGGTTTATATTTAGTTATATTAATTATATTATTTTTGTTTATTAGTTTATTTTATATTTATTAGTACGTGTCACAACTTAGTTTTTATTCATATTATTTCTTATATTTCATATTTTTTTAAAACTTTATCTTTTTCTTTCACATGTTCTTAACTGTAGATTTGTCAAAAAAAAAAACATAATATAAAGTATAGAATTTTTTCGATCATCTGTCTCATTATATATCAAATATTTGTATATCCTATATTATATTATATTTAATTACAATTATTTAATTGATATTTTAATTAAATATTTACAATTCATAAATTCATTAATAATATTGTCGAGTCAACTTTTGTTCATAAAATTTATAAAAATATATTATTTTCATTGATTTGCTTATGTTGAATTGAGAAAAGTTATGTTTTTTTTTTTTTTTTAATTGTAACTGTATTGATGTGTTAAACATGTACTACAGATGAGAAAGATGATAAATTATGAAAAATGTAATTTGTAAATTATAATGACATTATGTTATTTTAATGGTATACTTTTTCTATTAACCAAATAATGCCTCAAGTATGAAATTATTTTGTATCCACCACTGCAGATATATTTCGAATAGAACTTCCATTGAAATTTTTACAATTCCAGTGACATTTTTCCAACTGTTGAAATATGATCCGAATTTTTTTTAACAAAAATTCACGCAATAATAAATAATGATAATTAAAATAAATATATTACAAGAATAAATAATGTAATTTGATCTCTGTTGAAATAGTCAATGCAATTTTACAATGACAGATATACAAATAAAATATCATTTAGAAATTCCAGTTAATGTCTTACCGTGATGTCGTTGGAAAAAAAAGTTAATGTCTTACCGTTGGATTTTTCATTGCAATGTACCATTTTTTTATTCCTTTATATATTATAATATTTATTAGGAGTTTTTGTTATTAATTAATTGTATTTAATTCATACTGTTTATTATAAAAATCAGTGGTAATATACAAAAATTAAAAAATATTTTTAATTTAGAAAAAAAATCAAGAAAAAAGAAAGGACCGCAAAAAGGATTGCAAGTCACATGGTGAATATATTTTCAGGACCTCTATCAAAATTCGGTGCCTGGAGTCATGGACAGATGTATGGATGTAATAAAAATTAAATGAGTGGTGGAATATCTTTTTCTTGACAATAAATCAAATTTATGGCAATTATTTAGC